CAGTTGGGCTTTCCTGCCCAGCCCCAGGTCCCATCTGGTCCTGGAGGGAGATGGGGGAGGCCTTCCCATTGTCACTCATTGCCACTCCCTGCAAGGAGTCTCCGCCCTCGCAGCCTTGAGAGGCCCAGCTTCTCTCTCCCCTCTCAGGGCAGCTCAGTTCTTGTTTCCAATTGAGGTGACATTCTCATAACGTGCGATTAGCCATTGGAAGGTGAACAATTCTGTGACAGTTCATAGGGTGGCGTCAACAACAGCACCTACGTCTCTGGGCCCAGGTGACCCGCCCCCCTGCCCACCTGGGTACTCCCTTAGCCTCCATGCCATGGTACAGGGAAGCTGCTGAGGCCTCTGCCAAGGGCCAAGGAATAATGGAGGCTGGTGTTGGATAGCAGCTGAGAAAAGTCCAGAGCCGGTAGGGAGGGGTGAAGGGCTTGTCTGATCCCATTTAGAATGGAGCCGGGGAGAAGGCTAGGGCTTTGGTGAGAGGGAAGGGAAAGACCATCACTGCCTTCCCCAGTACAGCCCTGGGGCCATGTCTTTAGAAAAAGGCCTCTTGAGTTCCTATGGAGATTGGAAAATTATTATTTCTCTGGCCTTTGGTTAGAAACCAGATCTTGCTTTCCATGACTTCCAGAGCTTCTGTGGGCTTGGGGACCATCCCACTTCAGCAGCTGTGGAGGGCCCCAAACAGCCCTCAAAGCCCCCGCGCCTCCAGGAGAGCCCTTCCCTCACCAGGCCCCGGGGCCAGGTCTTACCAGGGAAGATTGTCTGCCTACTTAGCAGCAGTTTATTCCAGAGTCCATATGAGCTGTAGTTTTTGTTTCTCTTGTTAATATACAGCACCATTTGGTTTTGTGTTGTCTTCAAGAGGAGATGGCAAACATCTGTCTACCTGTGTGTCTATCACCTTCAGATTCACCTTTTCCCCCTTCTCTAATCTAGGACATGTGGTAACGTTTTTGTTTTTTTGTTTTTTTAAAAAGCTCTTTAGGAATTAACCAGTGCCACCTGCTGCAGCATTGCAGAGAGAATACTTACCAGGGTCACAAACTTTCTTTTATCTTCTCAGTCCCTGCTCCTGCTCCACTCGAGTCCACACTCCCTCCCTCGCAGACAAAACACGGTCCAGACAAAATAATGAGGGTGCTTCCACCTGTGGCCTAATGAACAGGAACTTCTCTGCTGGTTAGCTCCAGATCTGCCACCAACTCACTGAGTGACCTTGGGCAAGGGGCTTAGTTTCATCACCCATAAAGTGGGGACACCCATCTTTACTGCAAAATATTTTCGTTCCCATTCTTCAGATGAGGTGACAAATAGCCAGTTCATAGGGCTGTGGTGAAGACTGAATGCAATAAAAATGTAACAATACCCGAAACCAGTGGCCTGCGGACTGAAAGGTCCCGGGTTCGATTCCGGTCAAGGGCATGTACCTTGGTTGCGGGCACATCCCCAGTAGGGGGCGTGCAAGAGGCAGCAGATTGATGACTCTCATCGATGTTTCTAACTATCTCTCTCCCTTCCTCTCTGTAAAAAATCAATAAATATATATATTTTTTAAAATAAAGACCAAGAAATGATGACACAGATTATTATCTATGGATTAAGCACGTTAAATAGGAGTGGTAGTCAGGATTCTAAAGATGTCCTTCCTAGATTTCTGTCCTCCAGCTATTGAATCAAACAACTCTGCAGCTGTAAATAGGGTTTTGGACCATAAAATAGGGAGATCAGTCTGGACTTCCTGGTAGGCACAACCTAATCACTTGAGCCCTTAAAAAACAAACTCTGGCAGGAGTTAACAGAGAGAAGTCAGAGAGAGTCCAACTGTGAGAGACCTGACCAGCGGTGGCTGGTTTTGAGGGTGAAGTGGGGTCCTAAGCCTAGGAGTGTGGGCAGCCTCTGGAAGCTAGGGATGACCACTGGCCACCAGCCAGCAAGGAAACAGATACTACAGCTGCAAAAAGCAATCTGGCCAACAACACGAAATGAGCTTGGAAGTGGATTCATCCCTCAGAGCCTCTAGAAAGGAACACAGCGATTCGAACACCTTGATGTTGGCCTTGTGAAACCCGATACAGTGGTGCCCCCACACAACGAACTTAATTCGTTCCAGGAGCAAGTTTGTTATGCGAAAAGTTCGTTATGTGAAACGCGTTTTCCCATAACAATACATGTTAAAAAAAATAATTCGTTCTGTAGCATAAAATATGCTAAGATGACATAAAAAAAGATAAATTTTTTGTTATTATTTTTATTTAGATACATCTAAAAACATAATTTAAAAAAAAAAAAACACATTTTTTTAATTTTAAGACAGACTAAGTAGAGTCTACCGAATCTTGCACATCTTCATCCATTTTCTGCTTTTTGGCCGATGGTTTCATGAAAAACCTGTCCAAAGTCGTTTGTTTTTCTCTTTTCTCCAACATCTGCCGGAAATAACGGACAAGAGTATCGGAGTAAAGATCGTTGATCCTGTTTGCTTCAGCTGAATCCGGATAGTGGGCATTGGTAAACTCCTGAACTGCTTTTCATTTGACCAGGATGTTCTTGATGTCAGCAGTTGGGATTGGTTGATTGTTTGATTGTTGCTCCTCGTTATCAGATGACGCTTCCCTTTGAGCATTGTCCTGTTGCTGGACCAGAAGTGCTTGGAGCTCTTCAGTTGTCAGCTCTTCTTCGTGTTCCTCAATAAGCTCCTCTATATCCTCTTCCTCTACCTCTAATTCTAACCTTTGGGCCACTGTGATGATGTCCTTCACCACTTCTGTGTCATCAACTACTGCTTCTTCCTGGGTCCACGAAGGCACAAGCATCTTCCAAGCAGAAATGAGGGTCCTTTGTGACACTTCTTCCCAGGCCTTCTGTATAAGTTGTATTGCCATAAGGACATCAAATTTCTCCTTCCAAAACTTTCGCACAGTCATATTGTCTCCACCAAACTCGCATTCTTCAAACACCTTATTAAAGAGGGCTCTAGTGTAGAGTTTTTTAAAGTTCGCAATAACTTGCTGATCCATTGGCTGAAGAATGGGTGTGGTGTATGGTGGCAAATACTGCACCTTGATAAAAGGATAATTTTCCTGCAATATTTCCTCTAGGTCTTTTGGGTGAGAAGGAGCATTGTCAAGTATCAGAAGGGCTTTGAGCGGCAGTTCTTTTCCCAGCAAGAATTTCTTCACGGCAGGAGCAAAGGTTTCCAGAATCCATTCGTTGAAAATAACTTGGGTCACCCAGGCTTTTTGATTGGACTTCCAATGGACGGGCAGTTTGGACTTAATAACGTTATTTTTCTTGAAAATTCTTGGATTTTCAGAGTGATAAACCAATAGAGGTTTGATCTTGAGGTCTCCGCTGGCATTAGACGAAAACATAAGGGTAAGTCTGTCCTTCATGGCTTTGTGTCCTGGCAATTTCTTCTCCTCTTTTGTAATGAAGGTTCTGCTCGGCATTCTTTTCCAGAAAAGATCCGTTTCATCGGCATTGAACACTTGTTGTGGGCAGTATCCTTCATCCTTAATACATTTTTGAAAGTTAATAGAGAACTTTTCTGCTTCTTTCTTGTCAGCACTGCCAGCCTCACCATGCATAGTAACGCTGTGGATTCCACACCTTTTCTTAAATCTAAAAAACCACCCCCTGCTGGCTTTGAATTCTTCTTCATTATCTTGATTGCTGCTACTTCCAGGGACATTTTTCTTTAGATCGTCATAAATTCTCTTGGCTTTGTGACAGATAATATCTTGGGTTGTTAAGTCACCTTTCACCTGCCTGTCCTTAATCCAAATCGCTAATAGCCTCTCCATTTCCTCGTGGATTGAAGACCTATGTTTTTCATGAAATAGTTTTGATACTCCTTTGGCTACTTTGGCTGATTTGGTTGCATCCTTATTTGTCAAAATGGTGAAAATGGTGGTCTTGCTGAGGCCAAACTCTTTGACGAGGTCACACTGTTTTACCCCACATTCACTCCTTCTAATTATTTCCTGTTTCATTTTAACAGAAATCACCTTCCTGCTTTTTTTAGAAGCCATGATATAAAAAAAATATTGAGTTTAACTTAAAAGGATGACTGCCGTGATACGTGCGTGATTTAATTCGTAATGAAGAACGATTGCCGCGATACGTGCTTAAGTTAAGCGCAGTGACTAACGACTGCCTGCAGTGCCTGTGCGGAAGGATGCAATACATCGGCAGCGATCGTGGAAGCTCGGGCGAAGCAGTCGTGGAAGCTCGGGCAAAGCGGTCGTGGAAGCTCGGGCGACTTCGTTGTGTGAAACGAAGTTCGTTGTATGAATCATGAAATGAAGTTCGTTGTGTGCAGCGTTCGCTGTGCGAGGCGTTCTTTATGCGAGGCACCACTGTACACAGAAACCAGTGGATCCAATTTGGACTTCTGACCCACAGGACTGAGAGAGTAAATGTGTGTTACTATAGAACAGTGAAAAGGCTCTGAGAAGTCTGCAGGCATGAGCAGAGAGGACAGCCATACGTGTGGAAGTGTTTGATACCAACTTTATTTGAAGGTGAATAGTCAACACTGACAAATGTATTTTGTGTAATCAAGTCTCACTGCCCCCACGCACTGTGGGGCTAAGGAAGACATAGTCCTTCCAACAGCTAGAAACAGACCCAGATAATGAGTTTATGAAAAACACTTTCTCTTCCTCAAGCAAACGAAATTATTTATGAAGCTGTACAGCTCAACAATAGGGAGCAAAAGGAAAAAAAATTAAATATATTTTATTAATTTTTTTACAGAGAGGAAGGGAGAGGGATAGAGAGTTAGAAACATCGATGAGGGAGAGTCATTGATCAGCTGCCTCCAGCACACTCCCCACCAGATATGTGCCCACAACCAAGGTATATGCCTTTGACTGGAATCAAACCTGTGACCCTTCAGTCTGCTGGCCAATGCTCTGTCCACTGAGCCAAACCGGTTAGGGTTAGAACCACTCCTTCTTGTCTACCCCTGGGTGTCCAGCCAGAGAGTGCTGGTCAGTGGGTTTCCTGCGAAGCTCAAGCTGAGTGAGGAGGAGCTGCTGGACAAGGTGGAGCTCTTCTTTGGCAAGACCAAGAACGGGGGAGGAGATGTGGAGACTCGGGAACTGCTGCATGGGGGTGTCATGCTGGGCTTCGCTGAGGAGGAAGGTAAGGGCCTCTCAGGGAGATTAGGGCTGATGCATCAGGCCCCAGAGGAGGAAGCCCTGGACGCTAAAGGCCTACCCTTCCCGTCCCTGCAGTGGCCCAGAACCTGTGCCGGATCGGCCAGTTCACCGTGCCTCTGGGTGGGCGGCAGTTCCCTCTGAAAGTCTCTCCCTACATGAGTGGAGAGATTCAGAAGGCAGAGGTGAGTGGGAAGGTGGGGAAGGGGGGCTGACCAGGTAACCTGTCTGCCCCTCTCATATTTCTGGGCCCTTCCTCCTCCACCCTCTGCCCCAGCCCCTGACTCCCATGGGACTTTGCTCATCTCGGAACTCCTTCTCCAGATCAAGTTCCAGCCAGTGCCACAGGCAGTGCTGGTGCTCAACATTCCCGATGTGCTGGATGGCCCCGAGCTGCAGGATGTGCTGCAGGTGCACTTCCAGAAGCCCACCCGTGGGGGAGGGGAGGTGGAGACCCTGACAGCCGTGCCCCCAGGAGAGCAACGCCTGGCGGTCTTCACCACCGAGTCCAGCTAGGAGCCTTTTCATCGCCATCCAGCCCTCTGCCAAGATTCTCTAACCGGGCTGGGGTTGGGTGCGTGCGGATGATCAAGATCCTGCTAGTCAACAAAGCGGGTCAGGACTCTGAGTTGTGAAACGCTGTCCCAGACAGTAAAAGTGCCTGCCTGGAGCGATCTCCTTCATTTCATTTCATTTCATGAAAGAAACTTGATTTGGGAAAGGAAGGAGGCGGGGGGCAGAAACCATAGCCTTCCGCCACCAGCACTGATCTTCCCCTCCACTCTCAGAGGCAACAACCAGGATCCAGAGTTGAGCTTTTTATTGACACAAACACAAAGGCAGCTTCGGTTGGTCATGGGGTGGGTACACAAAAGCAGAAGTCGAACTTCACACCCTTTAGGCCTCATTTAGACAATGAAGAGGCTGAACCCCTCCCCACCACCTCCCAGTGCCAATGGCTGGGCAGGAACCCTTCCCAATGCCAGCTCAGAGCTGAGGGAGCTACACCTGAACCCTAGGAAGTCCCCACTTTGGTTCCAGGGGCCCAGTTCCTAACCTTCCCCCCCCTGCACCCACCATCTCCCTCACTGCATCTCCCCACCCATGTAAACAAAGTTTGGGCATGAGCTTGAAAAGGTGCCTCCCTGCTCTGAGAAGGCCGGGGGCAGGGGGCCTCCCATGACTGCACGGGGATGTGCTTTAATGTTTACTTTGGTCCCAGAACAAGAAGTAGACAGACAGCACTGACTCCCAGGGCTCTGGCTGGTAAGTGCCATCCTTCTCTGCAAGGCTGAGAAAACTCCCCCCTCTTCCTCCTCAAGCACTGAGAGAGAAATGCCAGCCCCGGAGAGAGACAGCACATGGCACAGGACTGGGAGGCCCGGGGCTGCTCCTGCCCCTGACACTGGCACTCTCAGAGGTTTGGAGGTGTTGTGGGACTGGGGACCAGTAGAACCCCAGCTCCACCAGAACAAGGAAGGCACTGGGGAGCACAGGGTGGAGGAGGTGTGAGGCAGGGACAGGGCCCCTCTCCATGTGCCAGCACAGGTTGTGCATTGCTAAGGCACTGAGAACAATGCGGAGAACTCAGTGAGGGAAGGGGGCCTCTGTCCCTCCCCCAGAGTCTGACCTGGGGGAGCAGGTGTGACGCCTGCCCCTGTGGTAAGGGGCCACCTGGGTGAAGAGTGGCAGGAAACCTGGAGGTGGAAGAAGCCCGGTTGTGCTTAAGGAGTTGGGGGACAAGAAGATGAGGCCACACAATGAGGCAAAGGAGTTCAGAGGTGGGCGCTGGTCGGCCCGGGTTGAAGGGACACTAGGGCGAAACAGGGACATGCTGGACTCACAGAGACTGGCCCCATATCCTGAGCTGACATTTCATTTCTTTGGGGGAGGTAACGGGGCAGGGGCAGGAGGGGAGATGAGGCCAGAATCCCTCTGCCCCTCCCTGTCCCCTTGGCGGGGCCCAGACATCCAAGTGGTCACTTCCCAACCTCTTCAGAGGGCAGGAAGGAGGGAGGGGGCAGCCCTGGCTATAGAGAAAACACTGGGCAGGGGAGAGGTCATCACCATGAGACCTTTGGCGGAGAGAGGGTAGAGCATTATGATAGAGGATGAAACTGGAGGATCTGGTGGCCAACATAACATGGCCTGCCAGCTTCTCTCTTCCTGAGGGCCTCCCAGCCCCCATCCTAGCTCTCCTTCTCTGCCCCAGGCACCAGGAGGACTTTGCCCACATTCTTCTTCTCATGTATCTGCTTCATGGCATCCGCCACCTGAAAAGGAAGAGAAGGGGCAAAATTGGTTTGGCTCAGTGGATAGAGTTTCAGCCTGCAGCCTGAAAGGTCCCGGGTTCGATTCTGGTGTAAGGTCTTGTACTTTGGTTGCGGGCATATCCCCGATGAGGGGTGTGCAGGAGGTAGCTGATGGATGTTTCTTTCTCATCAATGTTTCTAACTATCTCTCTCCCTTCCTCTCTGTAAAAAATCAATAAAATAGCCAAGACTGGTTTGGCTCAGTGGATAGATCATCAGCCTGTGGCCTGAAGGGTCCCAGGTTCGATTCAGGTCAAGGGCATGTACCTTGGTTGTAGGCACATCCCCAGTAGGAGGTGTGCAGGAGGCAGCTGATCGATGTTTCTCTCTCATCGATGTTTCTAACTCTCTATCCCTCTCTCTTTTTCTCTGTAAAAAATCAATAAAATATATATTTTTTAAATCAATAAAATAAATATATTTTTTTTGTTCCCAGTGCTCCAGAGAGTCCCCCTAAAGAAGGAGGCCCTCCTCCCCCAAGGAACCCTCCCCCTAGGACCCCAGCCTTTCAGAGCCCTCACACTCACCTTCTCAAAGGGCCACACAGAGTCAATGTGAGGTTTGATGTGGCCCTGGTTGTACAGAGCCACCAGGCGGGACACCACACCACTGACCAGCTCCACCTCATCGTGCAGGTAGCCCAGGTGGTAGCCACACACGGCCCGGTTGGCTGGCAGCAGCTGCAGAGCCGTCACGCTGAACTGATTCCACCATGTACGTGCCAGGGCCATCAGGTTCCGCTTGGAGCCAGTAATCAGGTTGGCCATTCCTGAGAGACAAGGAGGCACGGCCTGTGAATCCGGGTGCCAGGCACAGCCCTGTGTCTGGACCCATCTGCCCCCATTGGCCCTTAGCATTATCCACACCAGTGCCAGGAAGTGACAGCATAACCCACCGCCTGCAGGCTATCAAGCTCCAAAAGACTCCATCTAACTCAAAAATGGTTCTAATCTCTATTTGTTTCTTTTTATGTGAAATGTTTTTTTAAATTTTATTTCTCAATGACAATTTACATTCATTATTATTTTGTATTAGTTTCAGGTGTGTGAAATGGTGTTTTAAGTGGAAATGCAGTTGTCCCAGAAGTCAGGAGGGTGGAACAGAGGAAGGCAGATGGGGTGGTTGTGCATCAAGAATCATCCCCAGCCCTAGCTGGTTTGGCTCAGTGGGTAAAGCAGAGGCCTGCAGCCTGAGAGGTCCCAGATCAATACCAGTTAAGGGCACATGCCCAGGTTGTGGGCTCGATCCCCAGTGAGGGGTATGTAGGAGGCAGCTAATCAATGATTCTCTCTCATCATTGATGTTTCTATCTTTCTCCCTCTCCTTCCCTCTCTGAAATCAATAAAAATATATTTTTAAAAAGAATAATCCCCAAACAGGAGCACAGAAAGAACACAATTTATTGTCACTCACACGAGAGGTTGTGAAAGAAAATGACAACAGCTGCACTCAGGAGGCAGCAATCTGAGTGCAACATCTCAGGGCCATCCTACCCCTGGCACTCTCTCTCTTTTTTAAAAAATTTTTAAATTTTTAAATTTTTTAGAAAATATATTTTATTGACCTTCCCACAGAGAGGAAGGGAGAGAGATAGAGAACTAGAAACATCGATGAGAGAGAAACATCGATCAGCTGCCTCTTGCACACCCCCTACCGGGGATGTGCCCACAACCAATGTACATGCCCTTGGCCGGAATCGAACCTGGGACCTTTCAGTCTGCAGACCGACGCTCTACCGCTGAGCCAAACTGGTTTCGGCAAGGCACTCTCTCTCTTTAGCTCCTGGGTCCCTGCCCCTTCTTCATTCAAGAGCCCTGGGCCCCTAGATCCCTCCCCATTCTGGCCCACAGACTTACCATAGGTGATCAGCTTGCCCATGGGTTTCAGGAGCTTGTAGCCCTTAGTAGTATCGGCCCCACCCAGAGGGTCCATGACGATGTCCACGCCTGTCACAGAGTAAGGGGGACCGGGAGCAGCATTAGAACCCACCAATTTGGAGACCTCCCCTCCGTGCCATGCCGTCCCATACCCTGGCCCACCTTTGGGGGAGATCTTCTTGACCGCTTCCACGTAGTCAGTCGTGTGGTAGTCAATGGGATGTGTGACCCCGTTCTCCTTCAGCATCTCGTGCTTCCTAGCCGAGGCCGTTCCGAACACCGTCACATTCTCCACTGTTCGGCACAGCTGCAAGGCGGCTATACCCACACCCCCTGCAGGGAGACACTTTCATAAGTAGGAGATATAGAGTCACCCAGCCACCAGTCTCGGTTCTTGCCTCTCAAGAACCAAGCCCACCATCTTCATTTTGCCTGGGCTCACACGTCCAATTTCTGTGATTGAGAATTGGGGGAAGGGTATCTGGCAAGGAAGGGGTGCTGGGCCACAGCATGTTGCTGTGGATAGCACACCAGGCTGGATCTGGTGCCTGAATGTTGCCACGGCAACAATACTGCAGAGGCCTTGGGAGCCATAGGCCAAGGCAGCCTGGTGTTACCATGGCAACAGTCCAGACATGCTACTGAGAAGGGGCCTAGGAGGAAATCTGGCTCAGGAGGGGCATAAAGGAAAGGGGCCTGTTACCTGCAGCCATGTGTACCAAGACACTGTGGCCAGGCCGTAGGTTGCCGAAGTCAAAGAGGATCATGTATGCGGTGATGTAATTAACCAGCAAGGCAGCAGCTTCCTCAAAGGTCATGGCCTCAGGCATCAGAAAGGTCTGGGCTGAGAGCACAGTCACCTCCTCCTGCCACATGCCCCAGCGGACCAACACCATCACCCGATCCCCTACCTTGAAGAATGAAAGCAGAGCATGATTAAGTCACTCATTCATTCACTCATTGGCAATTTATGACCTTCTGTTATGTACAAGGCCCTCTTCCTGGTAATGAAGGAGCAGCGGTAGTTATGGTAATCCTATCTAATAATAGAGCAATATGCAAATTAACCGTCACTCTGTGCCAAATATGGCAGCCCCCATAGCCACAAAATGGCGGCTCCCAGTCCCCTCAGCCCTGCTGCTGGAGTGCCTGGCCTGTCCCCAGGAGCAGCAGGCTAGATCTGCCTCCAGAGAAGGCGGACCCAGCCTCCCAGCTCCACAGCTGTTGCAGTTTCTGGGTCTGTCAGCCCCTCCAGGGTTGTGGGGTCGGGGACCAAGCAGTGAGGCTTGACCCGCCCCCAGACAAGGCAGGCAGAGCCCGGGCAGCAGGGCATGGAGGCTTCCTTAGCGCAGTGGCAGCAGGGAAGTGTCAGGCCCAGCAAACAGAGCTGGGACAGCAGGGCTTGGGAGCTTCCTTTGCACAGAGGCAGCGGGAACACCTCCACACCCAGCAGAAGAGCCCAGACAGCAGGCCTTGGGGGCTTCCTTAGTGTGTCGGTGTCAGCGAACCCCCAGGCCTGGCAGACAGAGCACACTGCAGGGCATGGGGGCTTCCTTCACATGGCGCATGGCGGAGGCAGGCAGAGAGCAGGGCACGGGGCTTCATCTCCATGGCTGCAGCGAAGCCTCCAGGCCCGCAGAGAGCAGAGAACCATGGGGAGTGGGCCTAAGCCATCAGTAGGACATCCCCTGAGAGCGCCTGGATTGTAGAGGGTGCAGGCTGGGCTGAGGGACCCCCATGCACGAATTGCAGGCACTGGGCCTCTAGTAATAATAATAATAATGTCATTACAAACAATAACAATTGCCTTTACTGAGGGCTCCCCAAGGACCAGGCTATATTGTAAGTGATTTTTATATAAACACTTAACTAATTCTTACACCAGCTCTTTAAGGTAGATACCATCCTTATCTCCATTTTACAGATATTAGACTTCACTATTCTGTGGGGTCCTTGATGCAAGAAGCTTACAGTTGGGGCAGCATAAAGTATTGAAGAGATCAGCCGAAACCGGTTTGGCTCAGTGGATAGAGCGTCGGCCTGCGGACTCAAGGGTCCCGGGCAGATCCCCAATAGGGGATGTGCAGGAGGCAGCTGGTCGATGTCTCTCTCTCATTGATGTTTCTAGCTTTTCTATCTCTCTCCCTTCCTCTCTGTGAAAAATCAATAAAATATATTTTTTTAAAAAGTATTGAAGACATCAAACTGCTTTTGTTAAACAAAACAAAACAAAACAAAACAAAACAAAACAAAACAAAAAAACAGGCTCCACTACTTATTGACCATGTGACATTGGGCAAATAGAAAGTTAACTTTTTTGAGCCTCAGTTTTCCTATCTGTAAATTAGGCAGTTGTGAGGATTAAGTAACAAAAAATCATTTATCTTTTTTTTAGCCAAATGTTGGCCACATAGTAGACACTCAGTGGTGTTAACTAACAACAACAATAATGACAATAATAGTAACCAGGAGGGGAGGTGACCAAGTCCAGTAACTGAAGGAAGATGGAGTATGTGATAATAAGGTCAATATCACAGTACAGGTCAGAGATCAGCGAGAGCTGGGTGTGGTTCCCTCAGGAGAAGTAACTGAGTCAGCACTGGGAGCCCAGGAGCACTTTCACCCAGAGATGTGTGTGCTGTGGGCAGAGGTTACAGATAAGACGAGCCACACAGCAGGAACCAGTTTGGCTCAGTGGATGGAGTGTTGGCCTACAGACTGAAAAGTCCCAGGTTTCATTCAGGTCAAAGGCATGTACCTAGGTTGCTGGTACATCCCCAGTACTGGCATTGTGGGGCCGGTGGAGGGGCGGTGGCAGGCCCCCTCTCTTCCATAGGATGGGCGGGCCTCCTCTCTGGCCCTGTCCTGGGCGGGGCCGCCTCACACCCCCACAGACCACGGAGCTGCATGTGGCTAGGGCTCTGGCACAATCCTCTGCCGCCGCCCAGCCCTGACTCCATAGCTCCTCGAGCTCACTGAGGAACGAGGCACCAATCGGGGTCACAAACCACCGTTAGGGGCTGTGTTTGATGGGCAGGGGCACAGGTGTGACTTCACTGGGGATTGCGGGATTGGGGGGTGGGACAGTAATAAGGACATTACACGCATGCACGTCTTATTGTTTTCCCCTCCAAACACACCCACCACCACCCCCGCTGCTCCTGGGCGGCGGCCACCATGAAAAATGGTTGGGAAGCGGGGATAACTGCGGCTCACGCGCCCCCAAATGTAAATCCAGTTTCCCAGGAGCTTCAGAACCCGGGCCCCTTTCCTATCCTACGTCTTCCACGCCCGTCTCCCCAGGTCCCCCCCCCCCCCCCGCCAGCTTCCCCCGCGCTGCCACACCCCCGCGGCCGCCCCGCCCGCCTGGCCGCCCGCACCCCCGGCCGGGGCTGCTCCGCTCACCTTGCGGTCCTGGACTCCCTCGCCCACCGCGACCACGACCCCCGCGCCCTCCATGCCCGGCGTGTGGGGCAGCGGCGGCGTCCGGTCGTAGATCCCCTGCTGGGCCATCACGTCGGCGAAGTTGAGGCCACTGGCCCGGACGCGCACGGTCACCTGGCCGGGGCCGGGGGCCGGGGGCGCGGCCGGTCTGCTCCGCAGCTTCAGCTTGTCGTGGCTGCCGAAGCCGGTGAGCTCCAGGTAGCGCACCGGGTGGGCGTCGCCCGCCGCCACCGCGGTGGCCCCCTTGGCTGCCTCTCTCTCCGCGGACATGGCTGGGGCTCCGGTGCGCGCACAGCTGGGCTGAAGGCTGCACAGCTGGGGAGGGCGGGGCGCGCGCCGGGTTAAGGCCAGGCTGAGGACCAGAGCGGAGGGGCGGGGCGCCGGCCGGGGGCGGGGCTTCGCGCGCCCCCTTAAAGGGCCAAGGCCACGCCTCCGCTGCCCTGGAGACTGGAACGTCTGCGGAGCGAGGGCATTCTTGGGGTCGCGCAGATCGCGATTTAATTTACTTGTGTATTCATAATGAATCTTACGCAAGTTGAAATATATGTTGAGGAGCAGTCTGAATCTGAGCTGACTTCAAATTTGAAGAGCTGACCACCTGTAGACCGGAACCCGAACAAGTTGTTCTTCAGACTCTTACTCTACCCAAATGTGACTCATTCCGTGTGGTCTATCCATGGCAAACTTGGAGCAGAGAGATAGTCTTTTTTTAAAAAAATGTGTGGTGTTTTTTTTATTGATTTTGTACAGAGAGGAAGGGAGAGAGATAGAGTTAGAAACATCGATGAGAGAGTCATGGATCAGCTGCCTCTTGCACACCCCCTACTGGGGATGTGCCCGCAACCAAGGTACATGCCCTTGACCGGAATCGAACCCGGGACCCTTCAGTCCCCAAGCCGACGCTCTATCCATTGAGCCAAACCGGTTTCGGCTAAAAAATGTTTTAAAAAAAATACATTTTATTGATTTTTTTTAAAGAGAGGAAGGTAGAGGGATAGAGAGAAACATCAGTGAGAGAGGAACATGGATCAACTGCCTCCTGCACACTCCCCACTGGGGATGTGCCTGCAACCAAGGTACATGCCCTTGACCGGAATCGAACCTGGGACCCTTCTGTCCACAGGCCAACGCTCTATCCACTGAGCCAACCCGGTTAGGGCAGAGAGATAGAGTCTTAAAAACTTTCCATTTGATTTTGTTTATTAAAGCTCTGTGCTTCAATTTTCCCTTCTCTCAAATGGTGAAGACACTGCTTGATAAAGAGTAAAGATAAGCCGAAACCTGTTTGGATAGAGCGTCGGCCTGCGGACTCAAGGGTCCCGGGTTCGATTCCGGTCAAGGGCACGTGCTTTGGTTGTGGGCACATCCCAGTAGGGGGTGTGCAGGAGGCAACAGATCAATGTTTCTAGCTCTCTGTCCCTCTTTCTTCCTCTCTGTAAAAAAATCAATAAAACATTTTTTTTAAAAAAAGAGTAAAGATAAAATCAAATCCAGCATCCTTGATGCAAAGAGCGCTTTTCAAAAATAAAACATGTCAGACAAAGGCAAAACAGAAGCTCGATTATTGTCAGACTCCAGATCAAGCCTGAAATGACTCTAGAGTTTGCCTCTAGCTCCAGCAGGGAAGTCACTCTGGGCAATTCCATCTGCCTCTTCTTCGCTCCCCATCCCTGTCTCCCCCAAGTATCCACCAGAGGACGCAGCTCCCCCAAAACTTTCCACCCTGTGCTCAGCTGAAGAAACTCATTCCTGCCTCCGGCTAGTCCAGGCCCGCCAGTAAGTCACCAGAGCCCCAGACGAGGCCGCTCGTTGCCATGGGGACGGAAAGCCATGACGTCACCATTTTCCTGGTGCGGGTGATGGAGTCCCTACCCTCCTAACCCCAGGACTCCCTGCCGGGACCCGAGCATCGAGGAGGGAGACCGAACCCTAAAGGCTCTTTTCCTCCCCACCACCTCTGCCTCCTGTGGTCTCAGGGAGCAGGTGGGTGCCCCCGCGCGGGTCCGCAGTGGCACACCGGCGTGCACGCGAGGGCACGCAAAGGGCCCGAGCCTCGTGCGGGAGCCGATCCCACCAAGCCCCGCCCGCCCCCGCCCCCAAGAAAGTCAAATCAGTCAAAAAGCCCGGATCGGCCCGCCCCAAACCACCAGCGAGAACTCTGCTTTCTCCCCGGGTTTCCCGGTCCCGCTAGCTCCCTGGGCCCCGCCTCCCGGCTGCGGGGACCGGGGCGGGGGCGGGAGCGGGAGGCGGGGCCGGGGGCGCGGCCGCCGGGCGGGGGGCGGGGCGGGGGGGGGGCGGGGGGGCCGCGGCCCCGGGTGGGGGCTCGGCGCGGGCCCGCGAGATGCCGGTGTCGGCGGCCCGAGCGGCTGCAGCTGCGGCGGCGGGGGAGGCGGCGGGGCCCGGGAGGGGGGCTCCGCGGGGCGCCGCCGGCGTGTAGCCGGGACCATGGAGGGGCAGAGCGGCCGCTGCAAGATCGTGGTGGTGGGGGACGCCGAGTGCGGCAAGACGGCGCTGCTGCAGGTGTTCGCCAAGGACGCCTACCCCGGGGTGAGGGACGGCGTCTGGGAGCGGGGGGCTGAGGTCGCGGGGGTGGGTGATGGAGCCCGGGGGACCCGTAGAAATGGGCACCGGGGTTACCAGGGACCGGAGAGGCATGGAGGACGGGTTTCGGGGGGTGGGTGTTGGGAGCTCTGGAAGGACTGCAGAGGATTGGGGACCAGGATGAGATGATTGGGGTTTGGGGGGAGGAGAGGATCTCAGGAGAGGTATTAGGGGATGGCGGGGGTCCTGGGCATCGGAGAGGGGGCGAACTGGGGGCTGCAAGGGCTGGGGAGGGGGTCTGGAAGCCTAGCAGAGATCCCCCTCTGCCCCTCACGGAACCAACTTGCGTCCAGGGGCTGGGCTGGCCAGGGTGTGGGAGTAAGGAGGGCATGTGTCTGGAGCGAGGGCTGGAGGATCGATCACATCTTGACCCATCCGTGTCTGCAGAGTTATGTGCCCACCGTGTTTGAGAACTACACCGCCAGCTTTGAGATAGACAAGCGCCGCATCGAGCTCAACATGTGGGACACTTCAGGTAGCCACGTCCCTGGGGTCACCCTGACTTCCAAGGCCCCCACCCGGGCCCCTCCCTCTGCTAGACCTTTAGGCTTCCGCTCAGCCCATCCACTGAATTCCAGGAGGAAGGGAAAGCAACCTTCTGCTTAAAGCCAGAGAAACTGAGGCAGAGCTTGCTGACATACAGAGAAACCGTGCCCTGGAGGAGAAAAGCCCAGTAGCCAGTCCCCTCGGCAGGATCCTGCCTCTCTGGGAAAGTTGAGAGGCAGTGTTTTTCACTTGGGAACGTGTTTCTTTAGGAGGTTGTGCTGGTTTTAGGAAAGACAGTGAGAATCTCTTTGGGTCTCTAGACGGAGCTATAGAAATCTGAGACCAAGTCCCAAGAGGAGGAGGGTTTTATTTTTACCCTGGTCCCCTGGAGGTCATTACAAGATGTCTGTCAGAGCCCGGAAAGCACGCGCAAAATTTTGTGAGAATGTCGAGAGATTTCGTGAGCTTCTCAGACTCTGGAAAGATTCAGAATGCTTCCTTTTAGAGACAGCCCTGGGGAGGGGGAGAGCTGTTGTCTGCCATCAAGCCGCCCCTCTGCCTGTGCCCGCCTTGGAGAAACACAGAGTCCTGGATGGCTTTTAATAACTGCTCTTCTCCTTTCCCTGATCCCAGCACCAGGCCTCCCCTCTCCTCCCAGGTCTTCCGCCCACTCAGGACCCTTACCTGCCCTCTCCCCTCTGTCTTCTCTCAGGCTCCTCTTACTATGATAATGTCCGGCCCCTCGCCTATCCTGATTCGGACGCTGTGCTCATCTGCTTCGACATCAGCCGACCAGAGACACTGGACAGTGTCCTCAAGAAGGTGGGCGCCTAGGGAAGCAGGACGTTAGACGGAGGGGGACCAGGAACCACGGTTCCAATACAGCAGGAGCCATCGACTTGAGAGTGTGTGAAGCTCTCCTCCCCACCCCCCTTCCCTAGAAGTCGATCCTCAGAGCTGGATAGGGCAGCTGGGGGTGATGAGGGAGAGGTACTCAGGAGATTCCGTAGCCACCGTCCCCATCTCCTTGCGCGTGGGAACCCCAGATGGACGGGATGGGAAGGCTGCTCTCTGAGCGCAGGAAAGCCCTGAGGTCTCAGCTGCAGGCCCCTATTTCCATGAGAAAAGCCTGCGGTGAAGGGCCAGAAGTCAGCTAAGGCGGCCCCAGTTCCCAGGTGGGGGAGGGGAGGGCTGGGTCCGTCTGTTCCCACACACAGACTTGGGATAGGGGGTCAGCATGGGAAGGCCCCAGGCCAGGCCGGCAGAAGCTACATGGCCCCCGCGTTAGACGCAGGGCACAGACCCTGGAGCCCCACCTCAGCCCTCTCCTCCCTCCCCTTCTCCCACCCCCATCCCTGCCTTCAGCCCAAGCCCACCACCCTCACCTCCTTGCTCACACAGGAGCTTCCAGAGAGGTATGGGTTTCTGATGCTGTGATAACAGGGGGGCGGGTGGGGTGGGAGGGCCGCCTGGTGGGGAGCATGGTTCACCATGTCCCTTCTTCTACCCTCCACAACTCTTATTTCCTTTCCCCACACAGTGGCAAGGGGAGACTCAGGAGTTTTGTCCCAATGCCAAGGTGGTGCTGGTTGGCTGTAAACTGGACATGCGGACCGACCTGGCCACCCTGAGGGAGCTGTCCAAGCAGAGGCTTATCCCTGTGACCCATGAGCAGGTGGGACTCTTGACCTTTGACCTCCTCCCAGCCTAGGCCTCCCACCTCTGACCCTCTCCGTCTCTGATTTGAAAACACCCTATTTTGTCCATCCCTTGTCCTGGCCTCTAACCTCCAGCCTGATCCCTCGACCTCCACCCCTCTCCCCCAGCCCTCTGCCTCCCGGGCCCCTTGCTGAAACGCATAACTGCCTTCATCCGCTCCATCCTTCCAGGGCACCGTGCTGGCCAAGCAGGTGGGGGCCGTGTCCTACGTGGAGTGCTCCTCCCGCTCCTCCGAGCGCAGCGTCAGGGACGTCTTCCACGTGGCCACCGTGGCCTCCCTCGGCCGTGGCCACAGGCAGCTGCGCCGCACGGACTCACGCCGGGGCCTGCAGCGGTCCGCTCAGCTGGCGGGAAGGCCGGACCGGGGGAACGGGAACGAAGGCGAGATGCACAAGGATCGCGCCAAGAGTTGCAACCTCATGTGAGGAGCTGGGGAGGGGCGGGGCGTCAGGATGGGGTGGTGAAGGGCACAGCTGTTCCCCTGCCTGCCCCCTGGCTTCCTGCCCCCCTGCCCCCCTGACTGGCTGGAACTTCAGGGCAGGCTGAGTGAGCAATTCTCCTGCGCCAGGGACCTGGAGGCAGAGGGTACCATCATTCCCCACCCCCTCCTCCCCCTCCTCTCCACGGGAAGTTGAGGGAGCTAGCAAAGCCGGCATCTGGGTCTGGAGCTGGGACGGAGGGACGGAAGGAAGGGGCAGGGGGTCTAGGGGAGCTGGCATGGAGCAGTGACCTTGGTGGAGTGTCGGTAGATGCAGAGTGCCTTCTCTCCCTGCTCCCCCAGGCCCCACATCCTGGTCCTGGCTTCCTCCCCGAAGGAAAGTGTCCATGCCATGCGCTTCCCTTTTCCTCTCCTCTCACTCCCACAGCTGTGCTCACTTACCCTACCCGCCAGGCAGCAGGCACTAAATGAGAAAGCAAGTTCAGAAGCCCTCCCCCCGCTATACTCACCAGTCCTAGCTCCTCCCCCTCTTCCCCAGCAGCCCCCAAATAAAGCCCCTGTCCATGGAAAACGGCTGTGGCTTTAGTTCTGTTGCTTTCTAAATGCCAGTCTACCCATCTCCGGGAGCAGGAGGGAAAGTTAGACTTCAGGAGGAGGCAGAGGAGGCCATGGGTCAGCAGGGTCTTTTAGGAGCCAGAGATGGGGACGTGAGGCATCTTGGGAATATTCACCTCCGTTAATGAGCCAAACAACCCTAGGGCCCTCAGGGGGGTTAAAGTGGACTGATGTGCAATTCGTTCCTCAGCCCCGCTGGGGCTCCTGCTTGCCTGGGGGGGGGGGAGCTGCAGAGATCCAGGCCCTTTGCTCCCCATCTCCACACCCCCCCACCCTGGAATGTGCTGCTACCCTAGGGGTTGTGGGGTAGGGAGAGCATCGAACGAAGTGACCCTGGACATAGGGTAGCTTTGCAAGGGGACAGAGGTTTGATTCCGGAGTCTCCTCGGAGGAAGGCAGCGGTTCTCACCCGCTTTCCATCCTGAGCTCTTTGATGATGTTGGAGGGAGCATCGGCTGAGTTTAGGGTCACCCCCTCCCAGCCCCCTACTGAAGGAAAGTCGGTGGAGGGGCTGGCTGGAGCACTTGTTGTCAGGAAAAGACAGTGCTGGTCTGTTTTCTCGGGAGTCTAGTTTCACATTGTCCTGTATTCCCTCCCTGGCTCCGGGCCCACTGGCCTCTTTTCGGTGACATTCTCCCCCAGGAACCGTCCCTGGCCCTCCCCTCCCCCAGCCCCAGACAGCTCCTCCAGACGCACTCTGGGGAGAGAACACAGACCTTACCCTCCCATCTGGAATCCCCACCCCCAAGTCGCGGCCCATTCCTCTGGCATCTGTTCAGCCGATGTGTACTGAGCACTGACTGTGTGTCAGACACGGGCTTGGGAGACGGAAGGGACCAGTCTCTTTGCTCGGGGGACCCGCCCATCGGGGAAGAGGGGCAGCCCAGGTGTGGCAGGGCCTTGGCCGTGGGATCTCCTTACAGTCTTGGGAGCCCGTGCCCTGAGCCAGGTCCTGAGGGTTGGAGAGGAGTCTCCAGGCAGGAAAGGGGGAGGAGAAGCACTCCGGACAGAGGGCAGAGCATGTGCAGGCGTATGGAGATGAGGAACACCATGGCACGGTTGGGGCTGCCATGGCGGGAAGGGCAGAAGACAAGGCTGGGAAGGTACACGAAGGCCACTGCAGGGCCCACAAGGGAACCAGGACTTCCTTCCGAGGACGGGAGGAGGCGCTGGGGACTGGGAGCACAGAAGGAAGGGACCAGATTTGGCTTTTGGGTGGATGAGGTGATGGGGGTGGGGGTTTGGCTCTGAGATGTATCATTTAAAATAGCTTCTCCTTTCCCTGTGCCAGGGCCCAGCCTGGAGTGGAAAAGAAGTCCCCACCCACTCCCGGCTCAGCAGACACCTCTTTCCCTCCCTCTCCTAAGGTCCCTGTCCTGGTCCATCTCCACCAATCTCCTCAAGGATTCTGGGACAGCTTAAAGGCATAGGACACCCACCCTCTCAAACCTGGACCCGGTTAGAGGCTGACTGGGACCCTCCTCAAGGACCCTGAGACCTGGATGAGGGGTTCTGGGAAGGCCCACCTCTCAGTCTGGTCCCTCGGGACTGACTCTTCCTCCGCAGGGAACTCAGGGTTTCCCTTTGGACTTTGGTCCCAGGCAGGCTGCAGCCTGTGGCTGCCAAAGTGCAGTGACTGTGTCCTTCTCTGCTCCCAGCCTCCCTCTCCTGCCACGCTGGCGCTTGGGGAGTGCAAAGGCATTTCAATATCCGCCTAAAGCAAACATAATTAGGAAAATAAATCAGTTGGAGGAGCCCCCAAAGTTTAATACATTTCCAATACCACTGGCAACAGATCTTGGTCTCCTCTGCAGGGTTTTATTTCCCGGAGGAAAATGGGCTTCTTAGTGTATCTCTGGACTAAGGAGCCCAATAGGTGGGGGGAGAGGAGGGGGTTTCTTCTTGATCCTCAAAGCCCCCTGCAGGCTGGAGGGAGGGAACCTGACTCCCCCCCCCCCCCCCCATCTCAGTTGCAGGAGTCAGACTCAGCTTCCATCTCTGCAGCTGTTTCCGCCACAAATTAGACACCCCTTTGGGAAGCAATGTAGCCTCCTTAATCATTTAATGAAATAAACTGCTAATCACTGTGATGCTTCCAGTGTTTCTTAACCTCAGCCATCAGCCTGCCCAGGAGGGAGGAGGGGAAAGGAAGGGTAGGCGCAGGGGCAGGGGCCTAACCCTAAAATGCTTCACCTGGCAGGCATCTTCAAACTTTTTAAAGTGGGGGTCAGATCACGGTCCCTCAGAGAGCTGGAGGGCCGGACTATATGAACTACTAATTCCTACTGTAACACCTCGGCTGCGCTCACTGCCCAAAAAACCTGGCGGGCCGGATCAGACTCCTCTGCGGGCTGCATGTGGCCCGCGGGCCGTAGTTTGAAGACGCCTGTCAGCTAGAGGGTCATCTCCTTGTGACTCCAGTCTTCCCAGCAGGGACAGTCCTGTGAAGAGCTTAAGATGGGAGGCACAGGTTCTAGGGCCTGGGCCCCAGCTCCTCCCCTTCCCCCCTCGGGAGCCACCTGTCTGAGCCTCAGTGCTCACACCTGGAGAAGGGGCGCTGGTCACCACATCTCCCTCGCGTTGAGGAGGATTCAGAGAAAGGATGTAGAAAAGCTGGTTGGCCCTTTAAAGATGGCTGAGCTAGGTCAACCTTTTTTCTCATTTTTTTGTTAGTCCTCACCAGAAGATATTTTTCCACTGATTTTTGCAGAGTGGAGGAGAGAGGGAGAGACAGAGAGAAATATTGATGTGAGAGAAATACGTCGATTGGTTGCCTCCTGCTCAAGCCCTGACCAGGGCCCAGGTTGGGGAGGAGCCTGCAACGAGGTATGTGCCCTGGACCAGAACAGAACAGGGACTCTTCCGTCTGTTGACCGATGATGCTCTATCCACTGAGCCAAACCAGTTAGGGCTCAACTTTCATTCTATCCAAGGTAGTCACCCAGGGCTTCTGAGCTGGGCCTGAGGAATCCAGAATGGCTTCTTAAGGGGGCTTCCCGTGCTAGGGATCCAGAGGCCGGAGTAAGGCCGAAACACAGGAAGGGGGGTGGCTGTGTCTTCTCTCACCCGCATCCTCAGGACTAGAGAGACCCTCTAGTGACCCTGAAGGCTCAGGTCTTTTGGTCCTCAGTTTTCTAAACTCTTCCCATTACCTATTCTGCAGTCTCTGGTTACCATGGTGACCCCACCCCAGGAACACTCAGATTGGTCCTGAGGGCTGAGGGCGGTAGGAGGAAGAGGTCATGTCCGAGGTTGCCAGTGGACACCAGCAATCCTGGCCCAGCTCTCTCCACCAGCTCCTCACTGTCTTCCCCGGGAAAGGGGTTCAGCTCTTCTGTGGTACCCACTGCCTCTCTCCTAACAGAAGATTTCCTTCTGCACACTGCAGCCCCTCTCCCGCCTTCCCCCTGCTGGGTTCCCAGGTCTCTCTCCATCTCTCCAGTCAACCCCCTACTCCTTCTCCTGAGGGTTGGGGTGAGGGTCAGAGAGGGGAGGCTCGGGCTCCAGGCGGTGGGGTGATTCCCAGCAGCTCCCTCCCAGGAGCCAGAGAGACAAGAGGGACATGGACATAAGTGCTCCTCCCCCCAAGAAAATGCCTCTGCTGTTGACTCCTAAATAACAGATGTCTGTCTGCATGTTAATGAGATTGGGCGAATAATTGGTGAGTTTTTCATTCAGTGTCAGAATGAACCCGGAGGCCTTATGTTCATGCACAGAGACACCCCCTCACCCCGGCTCTCCCTTTCCCCCAGAGCACAATGAGACAGAAGCAGATGCTGGCAAGCTTGCCCACAGAGGGGAGGGGCTGACAGGAAACTGGGAGAGGGTGTCAGCAGGAGGGAGACCCCCAAGGTCTGGGCTTCTCCCACTTGATTGCCATCTCCCCAGCCCCCACGAGGCATAAACTTGCCTTTGTGAGGTTTCACCACTGTGCAGAGGGGCCCAGAGGAAGGTGGGAACCAGAGGGTAAAGGGAGGGGGTGAGGCGGCACTGCATGGGGGGAGAGGGGCCAAAGGAATGGCCTCCTTCAGAGAGGTTGTGCCTCCCCTGAGCCTGGCATGTGCAGGCCTCTTACCCTGCTTTACCTCCTGTGCCAGGGTGTGAGGTGGAAAACAGGTTTTGGAGTCAGACAGCAACCACTTACCAACAGGGTGCGCTAGTGCAAGTTACCCAACCTCTCTGAGCCTCCCACTGTCCTTGTCTCTAAGAATACCTACCTACCTTGCAAGAAGGGAAGGACGAAATGAGATAGTGTCACAACACATATTTGTCCTCTCCCCACCTCCCCCAAACACACCAAGACAGTTTCAAAATGGCTGCCTCTCCTGCCAGACCCACCCTGCTTAGGGCAGAGGTTAAGTAGAAGCTCAGTAATTTTCCTGGCTTCCTGGAAACGGAGGACACGATAGAGGGGCAGGAACAGAGAAAGAAGCGATGAGATGGCCACAGGAGAGAAAACTGGTAGCCACCAAGGCCTGGAGTAGAAGGAAAGAAGCCACAGAGATAAAGAACCCGAGCCCGCTGGCAATGGGGTGGGCATTGCAGCCAAGTGGACTGAAGCCCGGAATGAGTCTAGAATCTAGACTGTAGGCTCTAGAAGCCCCAG